CTTGGATCGTGGTCGTTGTGGTGACCTGCTCCTGTTTGTATGACCCATTTGCATTCTGGTGACAGCCTCAGTGAGACTCTTAACACTCGCAATGAGTCCTTCTATGACGGGGTCTTTTGCTGATTCTACTTTCTGTGTGTGATTTATTGTGCCTGATCCAGTTGGAGGACCTCTTTCCATTATTCTATCAGCTATACGCACTAAATGAGATAATGAGGTTTCAGGATCTTGTGCATCCAAACAGTGTTGGACGTAGCATGGGAGAGCTTGTATCCATCCTTGTTTTGGGACTGCTTCACCCACTGTGTTATCACCCACTATGACTTGGAGGTGACGTAGAAACTGTGACGGCGACCGATCACCTAGTGTTTCACCTTGAAAAAGTCTTTGGATTCTTTATCTGATAATGATAAACGGTTCATTATCTCTCGTCTTAAGATGGTGTACGGTTGTGGTGATGGTGGATCTAAAATCAAGTCACGTACTTCTTTGGCGACTGAAGGAGGAAGGATAGAACACAAATCTCTATAACGAATCCCTTCAGATTTGATAATGTGTCTCGTGAAATAATGCTCTAGTTGAGCAAACCACAACTCAGGATCACTACGATCAAATTCTGGAAGTCGAGATTTCGTAGTCATAACAGTGTCTATCTCCACTGGTGACAAATCCTCCAGATTATGGGTTTCTTTTAAGTCTGACATGAGGTATGTGACAAATATAGCAATAAAATTAGCACGAAAAAAATGGTTTCTATGACACGAATAACTTAAGATAATTAAAAAAAAATTATTTATATACCCAACTTAGTTTACGGATAATCAGGTCTACTTTTACGATTGAGTAAAAAAATAATATTAATAACAAAAATGAGGTTAATTTGTGTTCAAAAAGGGCTCACCAGTTTCGTGCCTATAGGTAACCCTCGTGCTATTGATAGAAGAAACCAGAGAAGTAGTGAATAGGTCTTTATTTCGATCTTTGCGCAGTCACAGTCGAGCGTGGGATTATCTGTTCAGACAAACAAAGGCTTTCAACATTCAATATAAGATAATAAGGTATATAACGCTTACACAAAATAAGGAAGTGAATGAATACTTGAACAATACTGTTTCGGTATATGCTTGGTTGTTTGGGGTCAACTCTCAACCAACCAACCTATGCTGTTACAGACTAACATTAATATTTCCGAACGCAGTATATCTCTTGATAACTACTTCTTATATAGAAGCGACAGATTGAATGGACGAGGCGGACGATGCCTTATTTACGCTCACTCTAGCCTAAACTCACTACTATGTGATATGCCTGAACTAAACAAACTGAAGGATTCAGTGTGGATTGTATTAAAGCCGTGGAATTCTGTTACCTTACTGCTCGGCTGTGTTAATCGTCAACCTAACGCATCAATAGATGAAATAGCAGTTTTATCGGAGGTATTCACACTAGCTTCATCCCTCTCATTCACAGGCAAGCTCATTTGTGGTGACTTCAATATGCCCGAAATTTCTTGGCTGCCAGTCAAAGCACCGAGACGTTATGAATCATTTATTGAATGTCTAGAGCTTGGACAATGGACTCAGTATGTCGATAGCCCTACCAGACGTCAAAACATCTTGGACTTAGTCTTTACCAGTGGCCTCATCCCCAATACTTTGTATATTGGAAAAAAGTTCCCAGGTAGTGATCATAACATTGTCATATGCAGCCTTAATGTAAAAACCAAAACCGATAGAAGTAAAACCGTAACACTTCATAGAAACTATCGCAAGGTTGATTGGAATAACTTACACAATTACCAACGAAGCACTGATTGAAGAACCTTCTTTACCTCAAACAATATATACATTTGAAACGCAACTCTCATGAAGCGCGCCAACCGTGGTACTGATTAAAACTATCTAGATTCATTTCTTATAAATTATCAACCCAGCTATGTAATTTACTGCACTGAATATTGTATCATTTGTATCACTTTGATCTTGCCTGTAAACTGGCATGCCTCATGTAACAAACTGTTATTTGAGAATAAATTATTATTATTATTATTATTATTATTATTATTATTATTATTAGGGCACATGTGATAAGCGTGTCAACTAGTTTCTGCTCAAAAGAATTTTCTGTCGATTCACTCTTTAGATTTTTCTAGTCCACCGTAGCTGCATTAAAGCTTTTGAAGACTAAACAATGACAACATATTGATCAAGTGTTCAGATCTTCTAGCAAGATCTCATTTGTTTTACAGCTTGGACTGCGGTAGACCAAACCAATCAGCAGCTCTCGTCCTTTTTCAGGCGGCAACTAATTCACATGTTCCATCTTCATGGGATATGATATGAATGATGATAAACATAGTATACCATAGAATATATATATATATATATATATATATATATATATATATATATATATATATATATATATATATATAATATTGTATATCAATGAACAAAGCTTCACCGCCTTTATGATTCTAGGTTTTATAGGCTCTTACTAATGTTAAATTGCCAAAATAAAGTTCCCTACCGTTTACAAACTGATTCAGTCAAGCTTCTCTTACAGCGACTACATTCGGCTCGGTAGAGTTTATCTATACACCTATCTCCGATCTCTTAGTGACCAAGTCACGGGCATATCTGTAAGAGATACAAAGACCAGTTAAATGGCTCCATGCTGCACCCAGAGTGGCTTCGGCACCATTCTCCGTTGAAGCCTCACTGCTAGACAACTTGCAATTTTGGGGTCCTGATAGCCAGCATCTGACCTCGATTTTACTTCTTTTTCAGCTTCTCATCTCATCCACTGGCCGCATGTCTTCACGGATGAAGTATCCTGATCCCTTTGCTTCATGTCCGTTTAATTCCTTTTCATTAAGAAATCTAAATACTATGTTTGTCAGCTTGGTTTGATACTGTTTCGAATCCATCCGGTTACTTAGTCAGTAAACCTTTAGCGAAGTGTCATCAGAAAAATACTGTGACACTTAGTAGTCAAGTAGATCTTTTATCAACTCAATGTCTTTCTCACAGTGAGTTTTCGGTTCTAAGCTTTCACTCTAGTTGATTCTGTGGAAAATAACTGACTTGTCACTACGATCAGTCTTTAATTTCCCAGCTTCTGTTTAGGGGACTGGAAGAACCATCTAGTCGCTGAACAACTTTCTCGCTCTCAGCGGTCTCGAAGGCCACGAAAAAATTTATAAGTAAATTGCTCATCATCATACCTACTAATTAATCATCGCTAAACCACAACTCGGCCACCTATCTGGTATATTATGCAACACAAGACTTTTGACCGTCTGGAATGACTGGATCACCTCATTGAAATACAAGCATTATGTGCATATTGAAATTCTTGTTTTTTTCGATGAATTTAACTGGGGTAATCATTGTATTCTGGCTTGACAGTTGAATCTTATGAGTATGAGTGAGTGTCCGATGACATGCCTCTGAGATTTCATGTCTGGTTGGTTGTGAGCTGTCAGAGTCTAAACGTCCATGTCAGACAGGCAAACAGTATCAAAGTGAAACCCCTAAACTATTCTTACTTTAAATATTCACTACTGACGCTTTCAACTCGCTAGACACTAATGCTCTTCTTAAGTCAGATGATCTCAATATGTGAAGGGCGATAGTTGGTTCAGATAATATTTTGACTCTTCAGAAAGACCTGTACAAGATATACGACCAGAATGTTTGAGAAATACGCCTTTGAAATGTTAAAGAATGCAGGGTACTATTAATGAACTAAAGTAATACTGTATTCGAGACGTACATCCTAGGCGATCCTCATATCACACTTCAAACAACTCAGATGAACGTAGGTACCGCTCTCTGTGATACTCTGATCTTATCTTCCCACTAGTATTTCTCAGCTAATGAAGCATACTCACTCTTACTGTTTCTTATGAGAACACTTGTCTCCTGAACTTCGAAATGATTTGAAATTATTTTCGGTGTTTGTCCAAGGCTTCATCTCGAAAAATCTCATACATGATTTTCCTTTACCTTAAGTAGGATATTACCCTCTTAAAACGTTTTCAAAGGAGAACGAATGAAAAGGTACTTAGGCCGCGAATTAAATTCTCTCCAGTTGGCTTGGAAGCTAACCTAAAGTCAGTACGTCGGAGGACAAATGGGGTGAATATGATAATGAGGTGCAAAACTGTTCATAATCCCCTCATCTGGACAAACCACTTAAACATTTTAGTAATGTATCATACATGAGGGGACATTCAATCAAGATACTGACTTTTCCGAATCATTTCACTACTTGGACCAATATATGGTCAGGGTACCCTACTCGACATTTGTGAGGCTGCATTAGGAATATGGGATTCAAGAAGCGAATCCTTTTCACAAAAATGAAGCGGATATGCTGGAAAAATTAAACTGTGAGCAGCAAAAATGATGAAAGATCTTGTCGACTTCTCTTATTACGACAAATTGAGACGCCTCAGTCTATTTGCTCTATCTCACCAAATGTTAATACTGGGTTATCGTGTACTGGACGATAATCGTGATAATATTATGTCTTATCTTTCCCTTTAATCTGGGACTTATCATTTGAGTGAACATTTGAAGAAGTATCAAAGACCGAAACCTTATCACTTACGTCTGGAGTTCTGTTTGTCGCACCTAGTAGTGAAATAGCTAAATTCCCTATCAGAATAGATAATATCAACACCCACTGTTGATACATCTGAGACAAGATTGGATCTTCGCATCACCAAAAATTACAACAAATAAGGGCACATTAGTCGCTAACCTTTACTCTTGAAGACTAGGTAAGTGGAGAAGTGTCTTATTTAACCTGACCAGTCGTTACGGTCTAATGGTACGGTTTATCCACTCGTAATTTGATGCGGTTAGGTAGCCGAGCGCCTTCAGATAGGATATATAAAAAACAAATGATCATGTCAGCATAGTTCTTAGAGACTTAAAGAAATATTTAATTGATGAATTTATTTACCGTTTCAGTGTCATTGACTTTTGGATGCTTAACCTTGACTTAAATAAAGACAATTCAAAACACTAGCAACTGGGGTCTCAACATGACTAGTTGGCGTAGTTTGATAGATGAAGCTTTATCAGACGAGGGGGTCATTGATAAAATAAAGTCCTCTATTCATAATAAGGACGCTGGTATGACTAAGTTAACAAAGTTTGAGCTACTGGAAATGCTAAGGTCTAAGGGTGTAATTGACATGCTGGTTTCTAAAATAAAGTCTAAAGAACAGTCCAAGATTTTCTCCAGAGGTCATGATAGTTCCGTGGGTACATACGAAGGTTCTAAAACATGTGTGTCAATCAATACGAGTTCCACTGCAGTATTAGTAGTGGAGGTTCTGCAGGGGAGAGCGTTTACGAGTCACCTTCAGACATATGAAGACATGGAAATTGAGGAATCTAAGTGCTCCGACATCAGTTTGCAACTACATATTGCTTGCAAGGATTGTAGATTTTCCAGCAAATTATTCCAGTGCACAACGGAGCCTATTGTCAATCAGATATTTTGTTTTGAGCTTATTTCTGGAAACCTTAGCAAGGGACGAGATGTAAGTATAAATATAAAAAATCTGTTGTCCTGTTTTTGAGGCTGGTGCGGATAGTGTCGTTGGCTATTGGAGATCTCTGAGGTATATGTTTTACAAAGGCATATAGTTCATAGAATTTGAGAATTTGTTCCCGAAATATATTTGTGAGTGATATATTCACCCATCTATATCAATTTTATGTATCAGCCGCTCAGATGGAATAGGCTCGTCTACTTAACAGTCTGCTTAACCTATAAATTAAACTCTCAAATACATATACAGTTAATAAAGACGTAAAAAAGAAAGTCGTGATGAAAAATGCATTTAATTTCTTTTGGTTTGCTCTTAATGTATCCTTAGAAGAAGCTGTTACTATGTTTTGGGGCTAGAACCTCCATATATATATATTATTATGTTTCAAAGTTTGTAGTCATCACTTTAGTGAATAATAAGCCCTACAAAAAGAAATTATTAGTAGGCATTCATTGTCAATAATCGACTTTTTTATTTTAAAATGCTGGACTTTCTGACAGCTCTTTTTCGACTTCTAGATCATTCTTTATGTGACTGGCCTAGTATTCTCATGTTGTTTATTTTGACCATCACCGTCTTTAGTCTTCAGCGATAGGAGTAGCAGCTTAAGCGAATATTGTTATTACTCGAAATTTGCAGTACTATTAAGACTGAGTGTTAGCCGATAACATTTCCTGGTGAAGAATCCCAAAACTCCACCAATTGATACGATAAATGACTTCAGTATTAAACTTGCTGGGGAAACCAGTTTTTGAGAAAAAATAGTTACGACAGAGTAATACGAACATCACCGTTATCTTGTGTTATTTGACTTTTTAGTACAGTCTTTGAAGGAACTTAGCACAAGTGTCGCACTCTCGTTATACAAAGGAGTACCTTAGTTAGATAAGAAGTGCTTTGGGGCTTTTAAATCTTGACGTAGTGTTGAAACAAGATATAAACTGTATTTTAGCAAATAGAAAACGTTCTCTGGTGTCTGTATGATAGGCGAATTCCCTCACATTTTAATATTATCTGCGTACAACGAAAACAAAAGTCCCATGTGAGAAGCAAAGTTGCTTAAACGAATAAAAACAGTGCTTCACTCATACGTATTGCGTGAGAAAATTTGATTAACATTACTTTTCAGTTAAAAAATTCGAATTTTAACATTTCTGGTTACCAGCCCAAAAGATTTCGGGAAATCAAGTAAAACTAGATATATTGCTAACCGGTAACATCAGTAGCGAAAGAAAGCGAAACTAATGCAATCTAAATACTTATGGAATATATATATGAAATTCGATGTTTATCAGCAATATACATGCTATACTGTTTTCCTTAAGGTGACTCTTGAAAATTTGCTGTTCGATAAACCAGTTTCTTTTGTACAAATCGTAATCACATCAAACGTATTATCAACTGGAAAACGAGGTTTGATCTCATCAACCTGCTTTGACTGGCGTCCATATTTCATGGGCAATTCTAAATGTAAAGAAATAAACTTAAACCACTGGACCAATGACGTATCCATAGAACTACAAAGTACCGATCCAGACTGTAATGTAAGTTGGTAACTTTTCTCAACACTTTATGTACTTATTAGATGGATAGCCTTTTTAAAAAATTAAACGTTCGTGGATTTGGCTTAAACGATTGAACATTTTAAATGAAAATAAAACAAATTACTGGGTAAAATACTTCACCTATTTATTAAGACCGGGATTTGTGTGGCATATTTCAGGAATTATCTAACCGTAACGTCGGGTTTAGTAGACCAGTAATTTCTGAGTTCTTACATTCTTTGATCCCTGCCATATTTTTCTCTGAGGGTATTCGGTGAAATCCAATGTATTTGCTTTTATCGATTCAGAATGTTCTCTAACCCTAATCTCATCTTGAGTGTCACGATGGTATAAATATAGGTATTCCTGATGAATTTAAGTCATGCAGAAAGTACAGAATGTTAATGTTCTTTTAAACCAGTTATATGAAACGAGAGATTAAGGTGTATTAATTAAGCTTTTGGTCTTTAATGCCAGTTCATCACTACACAAATTGTCAAAGTTAACTGGCAAGCTATGAACTGCTAGATTTTTGTTAATATGTTTAACCTATTTTTATCTAAATGAGTTGACACTACAATCAATCTGTTAAAATATTTCAGGCATTTCAATTCTAAAATTATGGTATTTATAAAAAAGTATCATAGGCTTTGTTTCTTTCAGTTTGTAATTTCATTAAGTTGCTGAGTTGACTAACCATTATCTGTGATGTACGATGAAGGGTTTGTGAGTCATACGAGTACTAATCATACACATTAGCACAAGCGTTTTCAGGTTAGTATTTTGTACGCTATATTCCTCAATAAATACAGAAAATATTAGAATTTTGAAAAATTCAATGCAATAACACGTTTGGTTAAGGATCAAGCTTTATAAACAAGATATATTTCTTATTGATGGTTTCAGAAGTGTACTAAAGTAAGTAAATTTTTTTATCAACTACAAATAAATACGAAACACAACCTTGTCTATATGATAAAGTGGTCCTTATGAGATTTAATTAACAGAAAAACAAAGAATAAAACAGCTAAGGTTGTTTCTAATTTGAACACTTTGGCTCTTTAAGCAACAACTACTCTCTGTTATTTACGATATCAATTCTAGTACCTTTGCGTCTTTGGGACCACATCCCATTGGCTGCAAGATCTCTAGTTTGCAACTGACAAGTGTCAATGCAATTAAATTGTGAAGATTTTTGAGTCATGATAATGAAGGTGTTTATTATTACATGTGTTTTTCAATGGTGTTAGAAATGTTTCATGAAATTAAATTTTAATAGGTACCTGCGGGTGTTCTTGATTTACGTCTTTCTCTGATATGTCCTAATGCATCTATCAATACAAAATGGTCTGATCCAGTAAAGCAGACATTTGATTCAAATGCATCTGGTGTAATTAATCATCAGACTTGTAAATTAAGACAACTATCACCCTCGCTTATTCAAGCACATTTTCAATTAGAATTAAATCGATCACTTGAAAGAGAAAATACGTTCACTAATTATGTTCGTCAATGGTGGCGTGAATTAACACAATTGCGTGAAGGATTCTTTTCTGAACGTCTTATTAAAATATTTGCAGCTGATGAAAATGGACGCACACAGTTAGTTTGCTTTTGAATGTGTTCTTATAATTATTAATTTATATTAAAGACCAACAGACTTGACAGGCTAATTTGAAATATTTAAGTGCTATACGAAATAAGATATTTTGCTTTTCAATTCTGTGAAATAAGTAGTTTAATGACAGATAAAACTGTTAAACATCCTCTTCAGTGTATACTGCAAGAAATAATGATTGTTTTAGTATAAAAATACTATACTTACTTACTAACGCCCGTCACTCCTCGTGGAGGAGCATAGATCGCCCACCAGCACTCGCCACCCAACCTTATCCTGCGCAACCCTTTCCAGTTGTTATTCATCCCTTTCATATCTTCTAATGTGTTCTTTGGCCTTCCTCTTTTCCGCTTCCCTACAGAATTTCAAGTTAGGGCTTACCTCGTGATGTAGTCTGGTGATTTTCTCAATGTATGTCCTATCCATTTCCTTCGTCTTTACCTGGAAGCTGGTTTGTTCTCTCACTCACAAGGCTGTTGCTGATGGTATCCGACTATTGGATGTTCAGTATTTTGCGTAGACAACTATTTATGAATAATTGTACCTTCTTGATAGTGGTTGTTGTAGTTCTCCAAGTAGTAGTAGAACTGTGCTGACGTTCGTATTGAAGATTGTGACTTTGATGTTGGTTGACAGACAGTTGTTTCGAGTTCTGCACCTGATCCTCCTTGTTCATCGATGATGCTTCCCAGGTATGTGAAGGATCCCACATCTTCCAGAGTTTTGCCATCAATTGTGATTGGGTTGGTGTTCTCCGTTTTGAATTTGAGGACCTTGGTTTTCCCCTTGTGTATGTGGAAGCCTACTGATGCAGAGACTGCTGCTACACTGGCTGTCTTTATTTGCATTTGTTCATGTGTATGCGATAGGAGAGCTAGGTCATTTGCGAAGTCGAAATCGTCTAATTGGTTCTGAGCTGTCCATTGTATTGTGTGTTTTCCCTCAGATGTAGAGGTCTTCATGATCCAATCGACCACCAGAAGAAAAAAGAAAGGGAAAAGTAGACAGCCTTGTCTGACTCCGGTCCTTACTTGGAATGTATCTGTCAGCTGTCCTTCGTGAACTAATTTGCACTGTAGTTCGTTGTGTGAGTTCCGGATGATGTTGAAAATCTTCTCATGAACTCCGTAGTGTCGAAAATTTTTCCATAATGTTCTATCTTTACTGTCAAATGCCTTCTCATAGTCAATGAAGTTGATGTATATTGACGAGTTCCATTCAATTGACTGTACAACAATGATCCATAATGTTGCGATTGACCTGTGAACGATTGGTCCTAACGGAATCCAGCTTGTTGATCTCGAAGTTGGGCGTCTACTGCGTCTTTCATCCGGTTCAGTAGCATTCTGTTAAAGACTTTCCCTGGTACTGACAGTAGTGTGATGCCTCTGTAGTTTTAACATTTACTCAGATCTCCTTTCTTTGGAGTCTTGATGAGGTGTCCTTCTTTGCAGTCTGTCAGTGGCACATGTTCCTCCTCTCAAATCTTCTTGAATAGAAGGTGAAGCATGTTTGCAGTTACTCTAATGTCTGGCTTCAGTGCTTCATCTAGTATGTTGTCAGGTCCTACTGTTTACCCACTGTTGATTTGTTTGATGGTCATTCTGATTTGTTCTGCTGTTGGTGGATTGCCATCTATAGGAAGGTCTGTGTGTGCTGCTTTGATGTTCGATAGATCCAATGGAGCTGACCTACTCAAGAAATCCTCAAAGTGTTTTACCCGCCTGTTCCTTTGTTCTTGAATTTCAGTAATTGGCCTGCCTTCTTTGTCCTTGACCGGTCTCTCTGGTTTACTATATCTACCCGCTAGTTTCTTCGTTGTTTCATAAAGTTGTTTCATGCTTCCTTCTCTCGCAGCTATTTCCGCCATTGTTGCTAGCTGTTTCACGTATTTCTGATTGTCGACTCTAATGCTATTCTTCACTTGCTTGTTTGCTTATGTGTACTCAGCTTGTGCCTTAACTTTCTCTGTTCGTGTTCGGCTGTCGTTATTTGGTGTCTTCTTTTCCTTCCTTTTCTTGATCTTGTCCAGTGTTTCTCTAGAGATCCATTCCTTATGATGATGCTTCTTGCGGCCCAAAACCTCTTGGCACTTTGAAGTTAATGCTTCTTCGATACCTTTCCAGTTGTTCTCCATACTAGTTTCTTCTTCATCTAGTAGATCCTGTAAGGCTTGTAACCTGCTGTTGAGAGTTATCTTGATGTCGTTGAGTTTGTTAGCATCTTGAGGGAGGCTGTATTCAACCTTTTTAATGCTGTTCCTCTAGTTATTCAGTGTTTCTCTAGCTTCAGTTTCATTTCGGCCACCACCAAGTGATGATCTGAAGCTATTTCAGCTCCTCTCCTGGTTCTCACATCTTCCATTGTCCTTCAGAATTTCTTATTGATGTAAACATGATCTATCTGGTTATCTGTGGTGCGACCGGTGAGATCCACGTAGGTTTGTGTATACGTTTGTGTGGGGGATATTGTGCTGCCTCTGACCAATTTGTTGAATGCACAGATTTGCTAATCTTTCCTTATTTTCGTTTCTCTCTCTCAGTCCATGTTGTCTCATGATATCCTTATATCCGGTGTTGTCTATTCCAACTTTGGCATTTAGATCTCCCATCAGGATGGTAAGGTCCTTTCTTGAGCACTTCACTATGATTGGTTGTCCAGCTGTCCAGCTTGGGTCCAATGGGCATCGGCCTCGTGGCTTCCGAAGGAACTCGGCTTACACCATGAGACGTCATATTTCTTCTAAATGAAGACCTTTTAACTCCCAGAATAGAGTTTAAATAGTTTGAATTATTTTTTCTGGTTTGCGTTTTGTAGCGAGTTAGTTTTCTACGGGATGGGGTCGCTAACCCCATGCCCAACCCTCGTCATTTATCCGGGCTTGGGACCGGCACTAACGCTAGAAGAGCTACAGGCGAAGTTAAAAATACTATTGTACTAGCAAATATCGCAAAAATCTTCGTCCTATATAACTGTTACGATGACTACTGCAGTTATTTAAAACATAAATGCGTCAGTATTTTATATCGAACTTAAACTAATCAGTTTAAAAAGTCATTGGTATATTTCAATGTACATGTTGTTAAGCTAAGAGTTGATTAAAATAAAGATTCTAATCTTAACGAGCTTTTACTTTCGGCCAGATTATTTGGTCTAGAAAACGTGATACATTTACGCCAGCCTTGAGTAAAAATATAATGAGCATCTTTTTGACATTATTTTAATGTTATATGATAAAAAGTCTACTCTTTTTTATGTGATGCCATAGGTATATTTTATATGGCAAATTATTTTCACAAATTTCATTTCATTTCGTCAGATTTGTGTGTAACTTCGTAAATCCACTCAGTGCAAGTCATATTCTTGAAACCCCATATATAGCCGCACGCTTCGTTTCAAGTATACCCTATGAACCGTTTTACGGCGTCGGGGTTGGAATAAAAGAACGTTGGTGTTCTGGTAAGTGTAACTGAACACCACTTTCCTACTCAACTTTTATTTTTTCATTCCTGTCAATACCACTGGAGTTTTCCTCACAGGATTGTCAGTTTGAAACCTTTTCCATTTATTTCGTTTTGGATGCGTAAAGAGCATTATTTATTCTTGCATAAAAAGTATCATTTGAAGCAAACGTTTATTTGCTTACTAAGTTAAATCAAATTACAACTTAGTTAAATTGATGTATATTTGAGTAGTGAAAAGGAAGTGGACAGAAGGATTTTAAAAGATGGTCATATGGTCATATGTTATTCAAAGTCAGTTCTAACTCTTAATCATTTAAATTCTCCTGGAAATATATTACTAGTTAAAGACTTTTAATCTTCCTGTTGTTCATCCCTTCATATTACAGAACATGAAAGACCTGATGGATTTAGTCACTTGTGTAATGGTCATGTTCTCTAAAACATGTTCAGTCATGTTTCGGTGATCGTTCCCAACAGCCTCTACCATTTTAATATTTTGTTAAGCAGATTAAACTTTTTGACGTTTATTCCTGCAGTTATACTCGAACTTACAACATAAACATTCATGTTTATTTAAAACTTATTTTAGTGATTATATATTCCATTTTTCTAGGACTGGCTTTTGTTTCTTCAAACTCTGGAGATGTAGCAGATCATGCAAACCTTTTATGTTCTCTACTATTGGGTTATGGAGTTGAAGCATACGTTGCTTTAGGCACAAGTCAATTCAATATGAATAAGCAGCAAATGACTACTTCCTCACATTTATATGCATGGGTTGTTGTTTGTTCTGTAAGTGTTTACTAAGTAGTTGAAAAATTCAGACGTATATCAGAGGAATAATAGTGACAAGTAGTGGAGTCCAGGGCGTAGATTTTGTTTCTTGAATGTAAATGAAGAAAATGATATATAGGTGTCATTACCAAGGTTTGATTTGATAATTTCGAATAAATTGAGCATTGGGTTCATTGTTATAAATAAAAATAATATATTTGTAATATCCCAATGAGTAGAAAATAACCAAATTAAAAATTTTTAATTTGGTTATTTATTCTCTGAAGAAGTGACTTACACTAAGTCACGAAACGTCAGAACATCCAATTTTCTACTCATTGGGATATTACAAATATATTATTTTTATTTAGAAGAAAATGATAGTCTATAATTTGACTACTTCTCAGTAGTATTTTGTCATACCTCTAAATTATTTAACAACTTTCAAACAGCTGTCGATGGATATACAAAGAAAAACTTGTGTGGCATTCTTTCAGTCCTTCTTAAGTCTCCTCTATCACGTAATATTTGTTAAAGAATGTAAATTTAGAAGCTATGTATTCCATGTCTTATTATTTTATTCATCTATAATCCGATGAAGTCCCTGAGTACAGTATTTAGATAATTCATTATGAATTTTCGTTTCAGGATTAGAATAGTCATTTATAACACTGTTTATTGCTTGAATTTACCCATTTGTTGCCATTTCATCGTTATCATGAGTGTTAATATAATTAAAACATATTAAGATGCTCGAAATTTTTTTTTGATTATTCGACGCTCTGGTTCACATTGTCATGAATAACAGTGAAATTTCGCAAAATACCTTCTAGGAGCATCTGTCAAGTTATCAATACATAAAAAGTACCTGATAAATGACATTTAACTGTAACTAATTAAGAACATGTCATCATTCCGGTTTGTTTGATGACGCTTTATGACTTCAACTTTAAATTCTAGGACGATTATCAACGAATCACATTTTGGGATAGTATAACTGGTCGTTGTTATATTCATACAACTGGTGGTTGCGAACAAAAAATCTATCCTTCTCCATTCTATACCATTGGATGTTTATACAATAACAGTTCATTTTATGCCAATATTCAACCAACTGATAAAGTAGTAAACTGTCTTTTTAATTTAAAGGTGGGTATTTAAATGTTTTTACTTTGATTTTAATTCAAAAGTATTGGAAAACATATCTATGATATTTGTACCAGTAACAATTTTTTTTAACACGTTACAACTTGCTAAATTATGAAACAATTAACTTGAACATTTCCGAATTTCTTAAAATTTCCTTTGTCATTTTTGAAGTTTCCAACTTAAATGAATGATTAGTTAACTTGTTGTTACTTGAGGTAGGTTGTCTGATAAAAACATCTCACTTCTAAGTTGTAAATGGCTCCATATGTTAACGAAGTTATTAAATTACTTGGAGACTCTCTAACTTAATGCTTATTAGAAAGTCCCATTGAAATGGATGGCTTTTTAAACGTATAATCACATCAATTACAAAAAGATGATCAGTTTTACATCTATTTGAAGTTAGTTCTTCAAAGGCTTCTTATCTTAAAAGTGATAGATAATCATTCAGTGATATTTTAGATTTAGAAATCACTAAACTCTCAACAGAATACCACGGTAAAAGCTAGAAAAGCAGTCAGCTCAGAGATAGATAATCTTGTGTTAATAAAACAAATAAGAAATATCGAACATAGTATATTCTGAAAATAATAATTTCAGAATTCATGCCAGTTTACAGGCATGATTAATCTAATATAGATAGTAACATTAGATGTTGAGAACAAACATGTGATATAAGATAGTTTTAAGTATACTACTTCAGTAATTGTTTAGGTAGCACATGTATTACAGCGATCCAGTGCATCAGCCTGGAACTTTTAATTCTTATTAAGTGGACAGCCTGTTGATTTATGAACGGTGATAATTATCTACAACTAGAGAGAGTAAAACAAAAACAGAGAGCACGGAACAAAAAATTAATAATTACCAAAATGTGTCAATCAGGTCTGCCAAAATGCATGTGTCATGTGATACAGTGATATACTGTTGATGTTAGATGTTATTCAAATTAGTTAAGGTTGCTAGGGCCAATGTTAACGTAAAGTGACAACAGGCAGGTGGTTTTACTTAGGGATTTCACTAATAATAATAGCTAAACATTTAAAGTTCCTATAATATCACCTGTGGAATAAGATGCACTTACAGGTGCTAGAACATTCAATGCATTTTCAGAGGATCAGTACGCATCAATGCAGCGAACAGAGTGGGAGTGATTGTATCGTATGGATAGATTATGATGGATTATTCCAGAGTCTAAAAAATTTACGGGTAAAGTAATTCATATAGAGCGATTTACACACATCACTCCATATGAGACCAAACTTAGTATAATCACACCAAATGCAAAGCTTGATTTGAAATTCCATAATTTATAGTTTGGAAGTTAGTCATTTTCAAACATAATAGCAGTATGCATCAATACATTAATAAAACAAACAAGAAATAAGCTGTAAATGATAACAACTGGTGGTGAAAAAAAATTATAAAGCTGTCCATTGTTTTTGTTATAACAATTATGCAGTTTTTTCTTACAAAACACCTCGCTCTCAGTGTAATAGCATCAATCATGTTGTTATGTTAAAGCGAAGCCGAAAGACATTCATTACAAGCTGATGCAAAGAAATATATTGATATCATTTGAAATTATGAATGAACACACTAAAAATGATAAATATATCAGTATATGAAGAAGAACATTCTAAAACTATCAAAATTCGAAAGCTTCGATTAATAATCTAACACATCTGGCATTTGACCGTTTGACATTGAATTGTTAACTCCTTCTTGTCCTTAGTCTTGAGCCCTGAATAAAAGAAAAAAGGCAAGAAATGTCGAAAAGATCTGTGTTTCTATTTTATGCTGTTAACAACTACCTCCCTGGCTTTTTTTACATGACTGATTAAACACAGGAATTTTCGGTTTAATAAAATGAAGCAACATTCAGACTAGTAGACACCAGCACTTTTTATTATTCTGATTTTTTAACTCTTCTGCTTGTACAATTCGAACACGGGATATGCGCGAAGTGGAATTTCTAGACTTCATATAAATTCACAACCCATAGCTGGTTTTTTTCTGGCTGATTAATTGTGATTTTCGACTGGTTAATGAGACCCCAATCATTAAAAAAATTAATAGGGATCTTACAATTAAAACAATAAGAAAATAAGAAGAAGATGTGTGATAGGCACGCATAGAATATACTTAAATCGATTCTATATTTTCCTTTATCTCATCCCTTCCATACTATTAACTATTCAGTCACTGAACAGTGAATATTTCATATTCTCTCTAACCTTAGTTTCGAAAAGATACTTTATTTTGTACTTTCTTTAATTGAATCTTAATTTTTTTTTTCTCATTTTTTTCATAACTAGAATTCATCTCAATGGCGTCCTATGTCATTTGAAGTCATTCAAACAGTACATAATTACTCAGGTTTATACCTTAGAAAATTGAATCCTCCCATTCAATCTATAGATGAGATTACTGTACAATGTCATGAATCCTTACGTCGTTTAGCCGATAGTTGGCGTATGGAAAAATTAAGATGTAATAATCATGTTACATGGAAATGGGATAATAAACTAGAACAATTATTATTACCTTTGATTGCTAAATATGAAGCCGATAAAAAATTTCTATCAAATTATGATGATAATGATAACGTTGTACAAGTACATGAGGTATTAGAGAATGATTTGATTATGTCACCAATTCATCGTCATATACCTAAAGATTTTACATTCAAATCTTATCCAGTCCAGGTAAACTCTAACAGAACATTTGTAAAGATTGATATTTGAATTATTCTTTAATTACCAAAAGTTCTTATTTGAGTCATCATTACATTGCGACTGAGTTTGAAGCGAACGGTACTGAGCTCAAGTCCCATAATGAACATCAACTCTGACGAGTCCCAAATAAGACGAAATGCACGTCTTGGATTCCACTGATGGCTACCATCCATCTGTGTTCATTATTATATGATTTCATTAACTAACAACTGGTGCTTACTACTTCGAGTTATCATAAATATTAGATGTCAACGTTCTCTGAACGTATATGAAGGTGAATTTGATTAAGTTAATCTTGACTAAGTATGAAGATTCTAAATCATCCTGGATATAATAAATTTAAGGAACTAATTATGGATAAAGTAATCAGTTGACCATCCTGTTTCTTACACTTTATCTAATAATGTTTAGTCACTTAAATTTCTGGTTAAATATTTAATAGGAAAGTATTCATCACATTATATTTAAAACAGTCTTTCTTGGAATCTGTATTCACTTTAAATTGTTAACGTTTTAAAAAATTTAAGTTTGAAAAGCTGTGACATCATCGGGACATTCCATAAACACTTGTCTTTTCGATCAGTTTGTTCAATTTATTTGAAAAACCTAGAACATGTGTAACAAATTATGTTTTAAATTATTCTCAACTGTGGGACTATATGCTTCCTTAAACTTTTCATAGGTCCTAGGTTTGAATCTCGCGGGGGGCGGGATCGTAGATACGCACTGCTGAGGAGTCCCATACTAAGTCGAAACGGCTGTCCAATGCTTCTAGGTTTTCCATGGTGGCCTAGCTTCAATTGACTCATGATTTCAACTAGTGAAATTTCTAAAAATCTCCACAAAACCCTTTCTGATTTTATTATTTAGACAGAACTGTTAAGTGAATTTAATGAACAGGGGATCGAAAAAAATCAATTAGCATTGTATTTAAAATTATTAAACCTAAGGGTTTTCATTAACTAAAAATTTGTTTTGATTATACTTGAGTGTTAGTTTAAACAAAGTTGAGGATTAAAGATTACTGAGCTTTGTTGTCTATGTGTCAATCTTTTAAATTACTAAATAAATTATTGAAGGTTGATGTATTCAATCTTAATCCACTTTTAATGTAAACTTTTTGTTTTCTGAGATCATGATTTCTCTTTATTATAATAATGCTTGTCAATTGATATGAAAACACTATGTTATTACTTCATATAGTAGTACTGTTTAGAATTGAATTTTTTCATACTAATTCTATTTCAGCTAACATTGTTCATTAAGAATGATGTTAATTGAATATAGGTAACTTAAAATCTTCTTAGTAGTATATAAAAATTAATATTCATTAAAATTAGTTAACCTATTTGTGTCTTTCGTGTTAATGATTAGTTAGGTAAGCATGTTTATTAAAGAATTCTTTAATTAAAGTGAAGATTAACTAGTGTCTAATTTTTCAGTAGTGTCAGACAAATCTTTTAGCGATTTTTTGAAAGAATTATATCCAAATCGTCTTAGCAAAATAACCTGAAATTAGAAATGAGTGATTTATATAATTGAAGTGAAGAGCCGCCAATATACTTATAAATAATCCAGTTTAAAAGGATACCGAAATAATTCTCACTAGTCCATACAACAATTAGATGCTGTTTTCAACTAAAAGTATCTGTGAGAAGAGTTGCGAAATTTTAGACACGAAATGGCCTCAATGTAAATAAATTCTTCTAAACTTGAAAATAAGGAAATTTGTCTATGAATGGTAGTGGTTTCGAGTCCCAAATTGAACATCAACTCTGGGACGCAGAACAGTCGAGCTATTTATAAGCCAGGGGATTATAAAATTAATTTATACTTGTAAACTGTAAATTTCATCTTTTAATCAGCGTTGATTAATACCTTGGGTATGATGACGCGTTTTTTGTTCAAAATAAGTTTTATATTGAGAAACATGACTATGTGAATCTGGTCACAGTACACTATGAAGTGTTGCGATATCACTAAACCGATATGGACTGATTTTCTTGGTAATTTATTGACTAAAATAATTCTAAGAATATTTAGAACGACTTATTATTATTTGGATCAAATAATTTTCACGGTACAACCCTGAAGATAAAATGGTGATTGGAGGTAGTCAACAGGAAACCCTGGATCTGGGTTTTGTGCTACTTGGCACTCGTCAGCAAGGTGTGCCTGTAATCTTGAGGGAACTGGTGCTTCCTGATGGATTCGACCCTGTGTTACCCAGCTTCGCAGTCAAAGACGTTACCACTGAGCTATCCGGTCCGCTACCGACCTCCTGTAGGACTGACGTGTAATCACAATTGATTGATCACTGAATGGTGACCAATGTCATGTGTGCCAAGTCATTCCTAGTGCAGGTCGAACGCTATCGACCAGAAGATAATAATGAAGCCTTATCACAATTGTGAAACAGATACAATCTTTGGATAGTTAATTTTTTTTCTCTTTTATCCTATTTGATTATATTTCGCAATATCGCATTTCATTTGTTGTCAATATATTTATTTTTATTTTCCTTCTCCTACATTTGTTTCTCAGCTATTCCATTGTAATCCTCAAAGAATATTACGAAGTTGTTTACGTTCCCAATTATGTCGGGATATACTAAGCTGTCGTGGTGATCATGTTCAACTTGCCTTAGGTTTACGCATTATTACATATGCTGAAAATGCAATGATTACATGGGTTATATTTGCATGTTCATATAAATCTGTAATATAAATTCAATCATAACCCTTTTTCAAGAGATGATGAATTATTTGCTTGAAGTAACCAATTTTTGAAAAGATATTTTGATTCATTTAAGACCTAATAATTTATAAATATCTTTATGTTCGTATTTACAATGAGTACTCATGGTAAACCCTATAGTTCGTTGTAAAAAACGCCCTTGTTCATAATGCACATATGATTGTTAATGGATTGATAATTCTTTATATCCATAATGTTTTTTTTACACTTGAACTCCTGTGGTTATACTAATTTTTCTCCCAATTGTTCATATCCGTTTAACTTGAGACTTTCTGAGGGGAATGAAAGATCAGTGTTTGAATTTTTGTAAATTAGTTTTTTTTCTTAAAAATTTGGAACTCACCAATTGTAATTTGTAATGATTTGGATTATTCCGTTGTTGATATTTTGACTGAAATCTGATCAGTCTTGGTTGACATGTAGATCGCCTTGATATAGCCATTATGATATAAACTTATTTACAGTATACAAAATGTGGCTGCGAGTCCCGGAGTGAACTTTAACTTAAAGATGTCGGTAAACCCAGTTATTTATTTGCACATCCTGAATTTCACTACTAGTCACACTCCATCTACCCTATATAACTCATGGTTCATTAGTTTAGAAAAGTACTTTTTTATAAAAATTAAATTCAGAAGTTTAAAGTTTATCTTACGTCCACAGGATCTTTACAGAACAAACTACTTATATGGGGAATCCATAATCCCTTAAATAAAATATTAAATGACCACTGTCACGTTTGTGTAGATGTTGGTAACGACTGAATTTGGTAAGTCACATTTCACTGTAGATACTGGTGATTAAATCCAATCCGTTGGTTTAGATTTTGTTCTGTTTGGTGTTCATCATCGAGATATATCTTTAATCTTGAAGGAATCAATTATCTGCTTAGGACTCCAACCGTTCTCAAAATCAAACATGTTACTACTAAGAAATTATTCTCTCGACTTGCATACTACATGACTAAGATATTTGGGTTAATCGACAAATTATTAGTAACCAATGTCATATTTTGTATCGATTTATGCTGAACAATCAGCAAATATTATGTATGAATGAGTGGTGAATAGCTCCGAACCAAATTCAGGATATACTACTTACCATTACTAACTACCTGGCAAAACGTGACTTATTTTATGAAATATTATTATGTATAAATGCAAATTTTTATTTATCCTCTTTTATATTTTATTTTCTAATGCAGAATTTGCTTTCTTTTTAATTTAACATACATTTTGCATAGAAACCTTTGAACACTGTCTTAATGTATATTTGTTCAAATTATATTGTCTCTGCATACGCTAATAGTTGATAAAGACTTCCATTAATGTGACACTTAGATGAAGTGTAGTATGAAGATTTACTTATAAAGTTTTCACTCTAGATATCATTATCATCAGAACTTTAGATATCTGGATAGAATAGGGAGCTATTTGTATGGTTACATTTAACCATCAATCATGATATAGATGTTAGATTTTATAAAACCTAAAAGATTTAACCATATATTTGTTTTTAAAGTTTTTATCTGTTACAGATTCTACTTTGTGAATAGAGAAAATAGTTGCTTACTTAATTACGCTTGCAACCCCTCATGGAGAAGCATAGGCTTCTCACCATCATTGTTCATCGAACTCTGTTTTGGGCAATCCTTTACAGTTTGTTCTAGTTGCTATGTATCCTTTCGATGTCTGCTTTCAATTCTCAACGCATTATGTTCTGCGGCGTTTCTTTTTTTCCGTTTCCCTTTAGGATTCCAAGTTAGAACTTGCCTCGTGATGCAGTTTGATGATTTCCGAAATGTATGTTTCATCCACTTCCAACTTCTTTTCCTAATTTCCTCTTCAGTTGCAAGCTGATATGTTCACTACCTTAATAGGCTGTTGCTGATGGTATGCAGTGAAAAGAAATTGAATATCTTGAGTAGACAATTGTTTATAATTGCTTGCAAATGTTTGATGATAGTTTTGGTAGTTCTCTAAGTTTCAGCTTCGTACAATAGAACTGTTTTGACGTTTGTATTGATTATTTTCACTTTGATATTGGTTGACAGATGTTTTGAATAGAGAAAATAAGTGTGTTATTTTTTGTTATTAGTGAAATATGCACCTATAAACTGGGAATAAGATGTGATTTAAGGAATGGAATAATAATTTTCATTAATAAAAATATAATGGATTGTATGGAGTTTACATGATAAACTTCTTTGTTCGTCCACTGGCCCTGTTTGCCCAAGTATGAATCAGTGTATTCACATATGACTTAACACCGAGCAAAATATCATTAGAATTCTATACAGCTAGCAATAAACATTTTTTGTACTTGCTTACTAGTAGAATTAGTGTTTTGTTTTTCAAAATGTTTACGCTTTGAAACAACTCGACTTGTCTAATGAACATGATTTCTTTGGAAATGAATGTTAACAGGGTTTACAACAAATTATATCATCTGAAGGTGCTGAGCGAATTAATCCATTGATGGTAGGAACGAATGCCTAACAATAACTATTGCTTCATTCTTATGTTGCTGATGTTCAGTAAACTTGAAAATCATCAGAATACAACTGAAATAATGCAAAATACAATTATTTACATGCGTTTTCTCAATCAAAGTAAAATGTTAGTTTAGATAGTGTTGTGGATGCGAAGGATAGGCCAATAATTATCATGTTAAGTCCAATGGTGTCCTTGGACTTTAAATGGACACTTCCTACTGGTCAATATCTGATCACTTGTTGAATATTGTACAAAATGTTGTTTTCTATTTTTATGGTACGATGTGGTATGTTTGGTTAGTATATAAATAGAGTATGTCTGAAATACAATGATTCATAACTCAGAGGCTGAGATTTGTGTTCTGGACTCAACTGGCTGGGATAGATAGGGAATCGGGACCAATCGTAGCTCTAGGTCGTCCATTACGTTCGTACGTGTTTACGTGTCATTGAGTCGGTCGATAAATACGCTGTTCTCTAGTTTTTCAGTCAAGGACAAAACAGTTAGCACAGGGTAAAAATCAACCAACAACTTAAAGTCACAACAAATAGTAGCTAGTAATAGAATCCAAGACGCATATTTTGACTTCTGAATATGTTTATATATCAATGTTGATTTTTCTATCGAGATTTGAACTCAGTACCTATGACTTTAGATACCATCAAGTTATCCACTAGGCAACTAAACCTCAGTAACTATCAAATGATACATTCAGTTAATGATTTAAAACTACGATGCCTCTTTGATTTCATTATTAGTCATTATTTAAAAAAAATAATAATTCTACTCTGGAAATAAGCGATTTTGAAGTATATGTGAATAAATTAAAATCTGAACTAAAAACAAATTTCATTACACTAATTATTTATTAACTTTTATATCATAAAATAATAAAGTAAGTTTGTAGAGTTTCAATAATTGATCAATCAATCAATCAATCAATATTTTCACATTCAAACTAATAATAATCAATAATTTTTCAATACTAAAAATTAAATAATATTATTGATAATTTAATCTTTTAAAAAAATTTATTAAATATATTTAATGAATAAATACACATTAAAATTTTTAATGTTTGAGATCATGAATCAATTGAAATTCAACCAGCTTCATGGAAAACCTGGAATCACTAGACGTTGATACTCTACTGCTGAGGAATCCCATAATAGGATGGAATGGTCATCTAGTGTTTCCAGGTTTTTTCATGGTGACTGACTCATGATTTCAATCTGTGAAAATTTCTAAAATTCTCCACAAACCCCTTCTGATAATAATCATCTGCTCACTAGTGACTGACTTCAAGAGATACTCCTGGAGTTCTAGTGAGAAGCCGTTACCAGTGGAGTTCAACCAGGTCTGTTGTGAGATATCAGCTCACTGAAGACAATGGTATATGGTGGCTCAACTTCGTGGATTGGTTGAAGTTAGACATTAACACCGTTGGATGCCGGCTGAGTGGTCTAATGGTTAAGTGCTCGCACGCGAAACCAGTAGGTCCCGGGTTCGAATCCCGCGGGCTGCGGTATCGTAGATGCGCACTGCTGAGGAGTCCCATACTAGGACGAAACGGCTATCCAGTACTTCCAAATTTTCAATGGTGGTCTAGTTTCAACTGTCTCATGATTTCAATCTGTGAAAATTTCTAAAAATCTCCACAAACCCCTTTTGATATTAAAATTTTTATCAACTATTATGAATATAACTTTTATTATTTATATTTCTTATCAATTAAATGAATTCATTCAATATAAATTAATATTTTGTTAAAATTTCAATAAATATGAATTTATGTAATTGTAAATAAAATTACTATTTTAATAAGAAATGTAATTCAATTTACAGATAGATATAAATAGATACTTTAATTGATATGAATAAATTGTACAAATTAACAATTACAATTTTTAGAATAATTGAAGGACCTGAAAATTTACTTCAATTTACTTCTATCGGTAAATTATTGAAAAATGACCTTAATTAAACGGATTAATATTGAATTTAATAGTTATTAATAACTTATCAATTATTTATTGTATTTAACCATTCAAGTTTATTATGATCATGCTTTATAGTAATATAATTTTGATAAATTTTAAAATTAGTTAAATAGAAAATTTTCTGAATGCTTTCAAACAAGAAAATGTTATCTGTATATATGTATAGACACCATTATCATGGGATGATAGCTCAGTGGTCCAGTAGGTTAAGCGTTCGCGCGCGAGCCTGAAGACCTCGAGTTCGAATCCTGCGAGCGGGATCGTGGATGCGTGCTGCTGAGGAGTCCCACAATAGGACGAGATGGCCGTCCAGTGCTTTCAGGTTTCTAACAGTGGTTTAATATCAATCAGTTCATGATCTCAATGAAAAGCTTAATAATCTACACAACTACTATACTGATATATATATTGCACTGTTGAAGTTTTTTTCATATTCAAGTTTAACCAACTATGACATGATAAGTTTAAAACATAAGATCTTTTTTTCACGAATAAGTATTAACTAGAAAACTAAAGGATAGCTATTTTTTGCCTCGTTTGGAACTCGTCAAGAGATCTCTAGACGACCTCAAGATATCATGATGATATGGCGTTCTTTAAACCACTTGATTTAAATCTGGTTATTCAAATTTCCACCTTCAATCGATTCGTTATATACTGAAAGAATTATAGATACAATCAGTGGTAAATGTGTTATTTGTCGATAAGTATTTTTAAATTTATTTAAACACACATCTGAAAGTAAACGAGTCAAGAATAACTGACCAACAGGGAATATTTGGCTTACATGAAATATATGGCTTTTAAAATTGGGAACTACAGGTGGATACCTTGCCTTATATGATATACAGAATATTGGGGTTTTTTTTGTAGAAGAAAACACTTGATTAACTAATGAAAGGCTGAGTTGCTCACAAATATAGTTACCTATCACTATTGAGGACAAGTTAGCTGACTGATGGTGAAAATTTGTTTAAAATGTGGTCTGTAATTTTATGTATATCTTATTTTAAGCTTATCATTTGCTTGATATCATATTTATTTCAGATACGTGGGGTATTCTTATACATGTGCCATAGTAT